AAAACCACAACTTTATCCTGAGCTGGCACAGGATTTCGTAGTATTATTTAATTTAACAAGCTCAATTAAATTCTTAGATATTTCTAATGCGTCCTTTTTTGAACCTAGACTACACGTATTGTTGGGTAGCATTCCAAACGTAGTAGATCTCACAATGATTAATATTAGTATCAATGAAAAATGTAATTTAGCAGATTTGAAATCTTTGAGACGCCTTACTATAACTTGGGCCAGTGATATTGAGAATGTCCTTGTCAGTTTGCCATTAGAAAACCTACAGACTCTTCGTTTGACCGGCTACTGGGAATGTCCCCTGTCGGAACTGGATTTTTTATTGCCAATAATTAATGCTGGTGTTGAAGTAATTTTGATGAATTTTACTATGCCTAAAATGTCTGTGGGATTTTATTTGGCCAGTACGCGAGGTGAAATTATTATTGAAAGAGTAAACGGAAGCACGATAATTTATAAACCTTAGATTTTTTTAGTCTTAAGTAATAGATGCTTTTGGCATAAAAATGTATGATTGTTTTCGCAAATTGCGATTTAAAAAATATAATCATTGATTCTAGCTAGTTGAGCTCAAAATGTATTAATTTGGTTTATGATTTGCAGCTAAAATTTAAATTCTAATCAGCGTTGATAACGCACAAATTAAGAATGTATTACCAAAAAAGCATTATTTTTATTTAAGTGCAAAAAGTACTATTTAGTTTAATTACATAAATAAGTGAGCCAGGCACACGCCTCTCAGAGTCAATGGTAAAATTTAAATATTAATTTATCTATAGCACAAATAAGTGCATAAGTATTTTTGTAATAAAGATAGTAATCAACGAATTCTCGTAGCACAAATAAGTGCACAAGTCATTGTTTGTAATAAGAATATTAATTATGAATACTCGTAGCACAGATAAGTGCATAAGTTATTTTTGTAACGAATAAAGAATCATTATTTTTTGTACCAATTCAATATGCCAAAAATTTGATCAATGAGTTCTTTTATTTTTGATATTATTTAATAATGTATAAATTAACTTATTGTCAAACTATTTAACTTCTTAAAATAAAATGAAGTATTTTTGTTTGTAAATTAGCATTTTAAATGCATATATATATTATAGTTAATAAAAATCAAATTGTACTGGTGAATTAAAAATTAAAAGGGAAGTACTGTGGCGTCGGCTACCTTGCCTCCCCTCTCATGCCTGCGCGCACCGACAAGCGCGCGTCGGTTTGACTCGCGGTATGTGGCGAGATATAGTCTAATTACAGAGTATTGTAGACAGTAGTGACGAGAGCACAGGCCAGCCCGGCCGAATAAATTCAATCGTTATTGTTAACAATATCGAGTTTACTTTAATCATTTATTCCATTCTCTCTCTCCCGTCCCGAAGAAGATTACCACCGAACACGCCATTACCCGACGAGGTATGGAGCGTCGGGAAACCTCCTGACTTGGAGCCGAGTCAACGACGAGTCAATCTACACCTACGGATAGACCCGAGCCAACGCATTTAATCTCCATAACACTCACATCAAGTTGAATTCTTATCTCGAATCTCGTCGGCTTCGTAATATATACGCTTGAAAAAAAAACAGCATCAGCAGCAGTATTATAAGAGAGGAGAGAAAATAAACGTATGCCTTTCTATGCCGCGCAGAGAGTTTACCATATAGCATAATATTTATTCGAGAGGAAAACAATTTATACGTTTATATTCGGTGCTTTTATGCATAGGAAGATCGGTTAAACGACGCTTGGGGATATTTATAGGAACTCTATATAATACGATAACGAACTTTCGTTTTTATCCTAACGTACGAGCTTCTTTTATTTTTCATTTTTTTCGCTGAAGTGAAAAGAAAAAAAAGGAGGAGGAAAAAAACGAAACCTATGCAAAGTCAGCTGAAAAAAAAACGGAGAGATTCTCTATACGAACTCGAGCAACTGCTTTGCTTACTGATAAATTTATAACAGAGAAACAGAGAGAGAGAGAGACAGAGGGAGCAATAATAATATCAGCCAAAAGCTGGCGTTGCGAGGAAAAGGAGAGGGAAATATTTCGATAAGCGATAATTCAGCTTAGCGTCTATAATAACATCTTACACACAGTAATAATTGGACGAGTTAGAGGGAGGAAAAAAACGAATTTATTATTGATGCTTTCCGATCGCAATGCGCGCAGCGCACCCTTGATCCGAATCTTTACTCCGTTTATCTAAGCGATGTTAAGTAATATTTTCATCAAAACGTGTCTCGCGGCGGCGATGATGATCGAGAGCGATTACTCAAAAAACACGAATCTCTCGTTGTTGACGCTGTTGCTGATTTTCTTCTGCTCCTTCTTCAATTTTATTTTTTATTTTCCCCTTACTGTCCGTTGTTACGATCGCGCGAGAATAATGCCGCTTAGCTCTGCCGCAGAGTCGCGCGAGCTCACGTACTACACTTTTTGCGCGCGCGCGCGCACACACACACACACACACACACAAATATTCGTGCATTGCACATGATACGATATGTGTGTATAATACTGTCCAATCGTTACGTAATTTAAAACGGTGCGGCAGCGGCAGTACTCCAACACATACACACAGATACACACCGAGAGCTATCCAATATATGCAGGCGAGAAAGAGACAGTTGTAGATACGAACGGCTTATCTCATTATGCATTGCGCGTTTATTGTCCAAATAGGCAATGTACAGGCGGCTCTCGAGCGAAAGAGGCATAAGTATGTGTGTGTGTGTGTGTGTGTGTGTGTGTGTGTGTGTGTGTGTGTGTGTGTGTGTGTGTGTGTGTGTGTGTGTGTGTGTGTGTGTGTGTGTGTGTGTGTGTGTGTGTGTGTGTGTGTGTGTGTGTGTGTGTGTGTGTGTGTGTGTGTGTGTGTGTGTGTGTGTGTGTGTGTGTGTGTGTGTGTGTGTGTGTGTGTGTGTGTGTGTGTGTGTGTGTGTGTGTGTGTGTGTGTGTGTGTGTGTGTGTGTGTGTGTGTGTGTGTGTGTGTGTGTGTGTGTGTGTGTGTGTGTGTGTGTGTGTGTGTGTGTGTGTGTGTGTGTGTGTGTGTGTGTGTGTGTGTGAGCGCAATGTATATAATCGAGCGTAATAAAACGTAGACACTGTGTGTGCATGTGTGTACATATAAAAGAGAATGATAAACAAATGACGACGATTCGCACGGTAGCTGAAAAATTACACGTATTTTTCGTAATTCAGCAATACGATTTAATATGCTCGCTTCGTACTACCTTCGAGATATTTTGGAGCACAGTACACATGCTCCAACGCACAACAATATGAACGTATTACAGTATCGAGACTCACGCACACTCACGAGCGAAGTATTTTGCCGCGCAGCAGCAACGTAGATCGTGCAGTGCTCGCCGGCGGCCGCCTCTGTGGGTTCTGCTACTGCACTCTATTGTAACTGGCCGATTTTCCGAGTTCCTCTATCACGAGAAGTGAGTTGCACTCAATTTATTCGTTGCAACAAATACGAAGATTCAACGACGACACATGGCGGCGCACAACATCGAGCAACAGTAACCGTCATGTTCGCACCGACGTAACGACGCGCAACACGACTTATCTCACTCACTCGCTCTCTTTCGATTTGTTTTTTATGTATACGATATAATATACAACAATATGTATACCAATGTTAACAAGTGTCGCCGCGAGATCCACTGCTCCGATGATGATCGTCGTGTATGATATTATAACTCGCCGGAGCTTTTTTCCTCTTCTACATTGGCACACACGTAATCACACGCACATTAATCGCACATACAAAAAAAATCACAATTTTCATATTCATTTTTTGCACTGTTCGTATCGTTACGCACACATTTTTGTTTACGATGGCAGTCTTTTTTTTTTGCAATCAAGATTCTCTCGTCAGCACAACTTACGGCTCACGCACCAACAGTCAACGGTCGAATCGACGACGAGGGCAGTAGTGCAGTCAGCAGCAACAGCAGCAGCAGTCGTTATACTCGTTGCGCGAACGAAAGCGATAAAAATCGTTTCTTTTTCTATTGCACGCCGCGCGTTCGAAATACCAGCTCGTGCGAGCGAATAAATCGCAACGATCGCGCGTTTATGTACAACGAACAATTGAATACGTTGACACGCATGATTATTAATATTCAAATCGAAATATAAATTCGAACACCAACTTCGTTCTTCACTGTGCGATGAAAAAAACACTATTACGAAATTGAGACGTTCTTCGCGCCGAGACAGTGAAGAGCGCGAGTATGAGAGAGTAACCCTAGATAACGATAGGCGAAGAAGTTAGACCGTTACTGGCCGAGCGCAGCACCGACTTTATTGAGGGACGTTTACGCGAAATATATAGGCATAACAATTTTATATCGCTGCTGTTGTCTGCTGCACGACGACGACGACGACGACGACGACCGCACGTTACAATGCTATACTACTACTACTACTACTACTACCACCAAGCACATGTATTTCGCATGCGAACAGAGCGAAGAAGCGCAGTAAAGTAAAGGAGGAAAAAATGTATAATAAAAAGAGTTCCAGCGGCTCTCCGCTGCAGCTCTATTGGCGCGAGCTTCTTCGCGCGTTGTGCCGACGACGACGACGACGACTTTGACTATATGTCTATCATCAACGATGTTATAACTTATAACGTGTGCATCAATTGCCGTGACGTTGAAGATTATCAATGCTGTCTCTGTACGTAAGAAGATCGTGTGCCGCGTTATTGCGCCGGCTTTTGAACTTACGGTGTGGGACGTCGATCGTTGACGAGGGCAGCACTTGCTTGTGTCTCTCTGTGGACCTGTGGTGTTGTATGGCATTTAGCAGGGAATTTGAATACAGGTTAAGGCAATTTTTTTATTTTATTTACACTTACAGAATTTATTGAGCCTTTAATTTGATATTGAAGAGATGTTATATAGTTAATGCAGACGAGATTTTAATTTTAGAGAATGAACTACTAAAGAACGAGAGATTTACTTTGTTTTTAAATACGTATATTTATTTCTAACTTACTATACTAATATATGTACATAGTATTTATAACTATAATTTGTACTATATGTACAAACATTATAAAATCACAAACTGAATGTTTAAATTAACATTGCAGAGCAGGTCTCTTGTGCTTTCCTTCCAAATCTTCATTAGCTGCAGCGTAGCCAGTGCGTCCTCTTTGCAGAGGAATAATATCTTCTTCTGTGAGTTTTGAGTTATCCAGAGGATTGATCATATCTTTCTTTATTAGTTTTTCATAACATTCCATGGTGATAACATCACCTGTTGGCCTGATGACAGCGCAAGGAGTACTGTTGTTAAGCACATCGTGTGTGATTGGACACATATATCGAGCTTGCTTAACTATCAGCGACTTTTTGTCAGAATCATCCTTGACTTCTGTGAATTTAATAGGGATAAGATCCTTCATTTTCAATACTTTGCCACTCATTGGACAGTAGATATTTTTATCTGGTTTGGTTAAAATTTCTTCTTTAGCGTCTGGTGTTTTAGAAGGTATCCAAAAGCTAGGCAGCTCCTTGTCTCTGCCATTAGCCATATTTGAAACGGACGTACTGGCTCCAGCTTCTTCTTTTGGTTTTTCATCCTTGTTGTGTACGATAGTTCTTGATTTTTCCAAGAAATTTTTTAAATATTCAAGCTCCTTGGTTGCAGATTCTTGCTGACTCTGTTCAGTCTTTTTCTGCTTCTGTCTCTCATATTCTTTCAGTTTCCTCGTGTACTCCTTCTTCTTCGTCAAGATGTACTGCAGAATGGACTCTTTGTCATACAAATATCCATCTTTACTGTAAATAATAAATTGAATTAGTTGATGTAATATAAAATATTAATTGTTTATGTTGATGTAAAGTTTTTATCCATGAAAACAATATCTATTTTCACTATTAATGGTATATTCTAAAAGTTGAGGTTATGTTATGAAGCATGACATTTATGATAAACATCAAGGTAATTTGAAGAAAAAACTGTGTAAAGATGAGAAATTAATCATGAAAAATACTCACGTAATGACTGGATTTCTGCAGGGCTGCAACGACAGGCAGCAGCAGTCGAATTCTCGCAGCGAATTTTTGCCAAGTCTCTGGCTATTCGTGCCATATCCGGAGGCCGCGGCGTCCTTTTTCTTCTCGTGGTAGGTGTACACGGCACCGGCTGTACAATTTCTGGCGTGTCTCGTCATTTTTGAATGATTTTAATGAAAAATTAACACGATACACAGCGTTGAATGATGTAGTTGGTGCAGTGTATACTGGTGTTTGCAAACAAATGACTTGTTTTGGCAACAGACGTCAAGCAGAACCAAATAAACTGCGTATTGTAAGAACAGAAAAATACACAGCACTGACTCGATGGAGGCTCGATCGAATACTGATTTCTATTTCGTACACGTGTAGACTGCAGGCCAACGACTTACTCGTGTTAGATACAAAAAGTGAAAGTAAAATTAAGTTGATTAGGAGTCAGAAAGTGCAGTATCGAATCGAAATGTTGCGCACGGAGCCTAGAGGTCGTTGCGCGCAACCGTAAAACTCTAAGTTGGCAAAGTAGATACCTAACTTTACGATAGTCGACTGAATCGAATGTATGAGAGGCGCGTACTTACGAATGATAAGAAATTCTGTATCAATGTTCATCACAACGTTGATAGATGGTTCCGAAAAATTGAATCTTTTACAAAATCAATGTCGTTTTTCTTTCCTTGATAGTTTTGGTGGAAATTGAAAATGAAAATATTAAAATTTCGTTACAATTTCATTAAAATTTAAAAATTTACGTCGAATTTTTCAAATTTTTTTGATACATCTTCAACGAGCCAAATAGAGTAACGATATCGTCTAATTCATAATAACCTTTCGAGCTTCGTAATCAGGTAATTAACTGGCAGGACATTTTTATATTTTTTCCAATCAACAGCAGCGTCCGCGACAAACGTGCCAATTATTGCAAAATAATTAAAACGTTCAACATTAACCAATCAATTACGAAAGGGCAATGTTGAAAATTTTTTGTCCTTCAAAATTTTTTCATCCACACGCATTTTACTTGATAAAGTTGCAATAACGCTATACGGTTATACGTCCCAAGGTACTACCGCTCTCGGACTTACTGCACAGCCGATGCACACACACACACACATTTCTATATACTGCACTACTCTTATGTAAGCGATTTGTAAAGCGGTTATAACCAGTTAAAATTCTGATGATTTTACACATTTTCCTCTCTCTCACTTGTATAAATCGTAGCGCAAAGCTAGACTGCGGCTTATGATGCAAATTAATAATCAATTTTCATTACCCTTCTTTATTTTTTTTTTTTATAACGAAAATTAACTGTCATTCCGAGAATTATAATTGATGCGCGAATTACCTCCGCGGCGGCTCAGTCTCATTCTCGTAAATTCGTGATTTCGATCGTAAAAAAAATGAAACAAGAAGAAAATCTGACAATTATGAGAAGGCTCTCGATCGAATTTTGATTTCTAATAAAAAAAAAAAAAAAAGAAGAAGAAGAAAAGCAAAAAAAAGGTATATCCGCGAGTATTACGGCGGCTGTTCAGATTTGCACCGAAGAGAGGACGCGTACGCATTTTATGGCCCATGGCCGCCGCGGGTATATACGATAATTCGAGCATAAATTATCAGCTCGTATTTTGCATAATCCAAAAATACACGTAAACTATATCCCGTCCTGCGCTACTCTATACATATACACCAGTGGCAGTATAATACGTGCTTATGTACGCGTAATATAAACCAAAGGAAGAGAAAAGAAAATGTATTAGCATCCGCATCGTATATTACCGGGTGCTGCTGTATACGTACCGCATCGCCGCCGCCGTCATTGTACTGAGCTTTCAATCTTCTCGTCAAGCTATTCTCGCGACATCGTAAAAAAAAAAAATCAGCAGCAGCGGTAGCAGGAAAGAGGAAAAAAACGGAGAGCTGCCGCGGCAAGAAGAAATCGAGAGAGAACAGACGAATCAGCGGTTTTCTTCTTCTACTACTACTACTTCTTCTTCTTTACTATAGTCGGAAAATTTCTTGCACCCTCGCCGCATCGTATATAAGGGCAAAAGAGAGCTATATGTGTGTGCCGTCGCTGCGCTGGTGGTAAACGTCGCATCTACGTCGTCGAACACCCTCCAGGCTCTCTTTGATTTTTATTCAAACTTCCGGTGCTTTGTGTTATGTACGTTTCTCTCTCGCTCGTATATATCGTGCGAGCTCGCACGTCGTCGAATTCTTCATTATTATAGCAATAAAAAATATTTCACACTCAATCCCAAAAATAATTGTTTATTTTCCGATAAAAAAAAAAAAAAAAAAAAAACCCTTNAAAAAAAAAAAAAAAAAAAAAAAAAAAAAAAAAAAAAAAACAGTAAAGGAGGAACTGCGAGATAAGAATCTCAAGCGGCTGTTGCAGGTGCCTTTGCGGCTTGTGCTGGTCGTGCAGTCGAGCCGTTAATTGGCAGTTTGATGTCGTTGTTATTGTTGTTGTTGTTGTCGTTGTTCGCGCTTACGGTGCGTAATTGCTCGGCTCTGTCGGCCGCGCACTGAGTGACGCTGCGCAGGATGGATTTCGACTGCTCGACCGTGGTGTCGATGGACTGTCGGGTCAGGCAGTAGCCGGTCGGGATCGGCGAGAACAGGGCGCTGCCCGTGAACTCGGCCAGTTTGAGGGTCAGCGAGGGAACGCCACGAGTCAGATCCCAGATGGCGCGTATCTTTTTCTGAAGAGATGCAAAAATCACGAGAAAGTTCCTCTAATGAAAAAAAAAAAAAAGAATCGTCTTTATGTACCTCGGCGAGGCAGGACAGATTGCTCCAGAAGTTGCCCTCCTGATTCTTCACGCAATTGGCCGCCTCCGTCATGATGTTCGACAGATTCTGCAGTATCTCCTTGGACTGGCGCTGCAGCGGCTCCACAGTCCTGTTGATCGCCTTCACCCGGTCGTTCATGCACTTGGTCGCGTCCGCGGCGAGATTCAGCAGAGTCCTCTGCAGCTTCTGGGCGATCTGCTCGCACTCGGTCACGTCCAATTTGCTCGACGATCTGAGTCGTTTCAAATTATCGATCTCTTTCTGCACCTGCGTGTAGTTCGTCATTAATAAAACAAAGCATAATGTTATTTTGAAATCGCTCCGCAACTTAATTTACATTTTATAATGTACACCTAGCTTGTTGGAATACTCACGCTATCCAATAAATTATTCAAGAACTTGAGTACGTTATCCGTGGAGCTTTCGCTCATGGCGCGGCCGTCGCTGATGAATTTATCGATGCTCTTTTGCGTCTCGCCCAGTTGCTTCTTCAGCACGTCCATGGCTTGGATGATGGTTTGATCGATGGCATTTTTTATGGCCTCGAGCGGTTGCTCGAAAAAATTTTGGCCTTTTACCGGCGCCGAGCTCTGTACGTATATAGAGATGCATTGATTAATGTGTATCGCATGAATATATGTATATACAGTATAGTCGCGAACCCCTAAACGAGACGAGGAATCAATTACACGTTTTGTCACTTACGTGGAGCAGCACTGCCAAAAACACGCACAAACACGCGGCGAACTTCATTTTTTCGAATTTTTTCGGCCCTACTCTCACTGTACTACTCCGCTCGCGAGCAATTTTCTCGCTCAACTTCGTTATCGAACGGCGCGATCGAATGTGCAATGCGTGGCCCGGTGTTGGGTAGGTATGGTTTGTATCATAATTCGGTATAATATCGCAGCTCTCGATAGCACGTGCAATCACAAAATTGTCAGTTTTATTGTCAAATATTTAGATACCTCAAACGCGCGAGCGAGAAAACAGACGAATTGCACCAAAAAACTAAATTGACACTCTTTGCTGCTGCTGCTGCTGGCGTGTGTAGTAAAAAATTAACGCGACATAATTGAATGCTCGCGACGATATTTATAAGTGAAAAGTTTTTAACCGACCGCATTAATCGTGTTTGATTTGATATGTAAATACGCGATTATTGGTTTATTTTGCGCATAATTGAAGCGTATCTCTCTAATGCATAAGCGATGGATTCGATTTCGGATATTTTTTATATACTCGTGTCAATTGATGAATCAGAAATTCCTTGCGTTATGTTAATATTAAAAAGTTTTTTACGCGTGAGTCACTGAGTTGATGCTTGTTGTTCGTTTGATTTCGAAATTGTTGAAGAAGGCAGAAAATGTGAGAAAGTAATTAAAAATTTTTAATAGTAGAGTAGTATTCAAGAACCCTGGTAAAAACGCTCAAAGTAACATTGATTTAGTACAAAGTTACAAATTTACAATACATTGATCGCTTTTTTAATGATCTGAAAATGATAATTTAACTGTGCAAAAACAATTTAGACAAGTTTTTACCTACTTTAAATAAGATTATATCTGTGGTGGAAAGGGCTAATGAGATAACTCCATTTTTTTCGAAATCGAGTTTATGACATGAATTACCTATATGTTATGTCTACTTTAAGGTACAAGTGTCACAAAAACTGAAAAGAACACCTATGGTTAAATATAACACCGTGCTTAACGAGATGAGTCTATTTCGCTGCAAACGATTCCCGGCCAAACGAAATAAGTCCACCTTTGCGAGCTCCAAAATGCGGTGGAGAGTCTACTTTGATTTGAAAATGGAAGAAAATGATATTCCAACATACAAATGGCTCTCACACTCTTCGAATGTTGTGAATTTCACTATACAGTTGGTACATTTGATACGCTAGGGGCCATTTTCGCGATTTTCAGTGTGGCCTTTTTTCGTTGCAAGATTTGAGATCTGACACCAGTATAACGTTAAATGAGCTATTTTATTAATGTAAAATCATTACATGAGGTTTTGATCACAAACTAAGCGAAATTATCGATATTGAAAAAAGTGTGACCGCTAAAAGTGGAATTATCTGCTAAGTGGGAAAAGGGCTAACGAGATAAGTCCATATTTTTTGCTCTGTATCATCACTATGATGCGTCTTTCAATTTCACAAGTACATAGTTCAAAAGATATCTCATAATAGATAAATATACCATAGGTACAGCTCCTTAGTCGTCCACATCTAGCTAGGCCCTCATGCGCAACTTAAAACCTGTTTTTCTCGAAAACACGAAAAATGGTGTTATCTCGTTAGCCCTTTCCACCACAGATATGTTTTTAAGCCTCTACCGCTAGATAGCTAATACCTGAGTATCTGTGAATTTGCAAGTGGCTAAGTCAAAATAATAGTACATGTATATAAGTAAAATGAGGTCTTTCAACTATCTTTGAATTAATGCATGTAATTGTAACTATAAGTTCTAATGTTCATATATTTTCTCGAAATTTCCAAACTTGAAGGGAAATTATAACGAAAATTGATTTCATTATGTAATATCGCCAGAAAGTGTTTCGATTCAGAAGCATCATCGAAGTATGAAATAATAAATTAAATAAGTTAATCCAGCTTTAATTCAAGTACTTTATCAAATTACAACGAACG